CCTCTTTTCAGCATGGAATAAACCTATTACTTGTTCTTTTCTATGAAAAGATCTCAACTGGAAAGAAAGAGAGAGGCCAACCTGCTCTCCACTGGCTGACTGAGTGCAAAAAAAGTTTTAAACACATTTTTGTCTTCTAATTGACAATAATCATTCACAGTGCTCATTAACCTCCTGGCACCTGGCACCCGGCGAGCAGCTTCAGAGTGATTCTGCCCTGTCAGGGCGCAACCCGGGGGCAGGTTTTATTCTGTCGGCACTGCGCTCGCCGAAGGAAGGAGAGAAACACAACAGCTCAGCCAGGGAAAAAAAAAAAAAGCACTTTAATTTTCTTTGCTCCGAGGCAAGAAGCAAATGTTATCTGTGCCAGCCAGTCTGGTAATGTCATTATCCATTTTTCATGACTTTCTGGCCCATGGTAATGTGGCTCTCTGACACAGCTTCAGAATAATGGCTTCGTTTTTTTTAATTCGTCTTCCTTAGGAACACGGTTCGCCGTTGTGTCGTTAAAAACCGATATAGTATGGAACAATTCACGGCTTGCCCTTGCGCGTTTTTCACTTCTGGGGAGACACAGATCTAGGGTGTCCCTAGGGCCGGCAACCTTCCACCCTCCCGCACACCAATCCTGTACCCCTCTGCATCGTCACACCGCTGAGTTTTGATAGATTAGTGATAATAGTGGGAGCACGCAGGAACGTGAATGCATGAGTGACTGGAGGCTAGCATGAGACTGAAGAAAGAGCCTCTTCCTGTCAGCTGAAGAGCGCGGGAGCAGGGCGGCCACAGAGCCAAAGACAAAGGAAATGCTCCATAAACACAGAGACCCCTTTTCCCCCTTAAGTCTTTTCTGAAATCCATTTCTGACAGCCTGGGTTTGTTATCGATTGCCCAATCAAGGAGGCCTTTCGTTGTCTATCAAGATTTCGAAAACCCCTTCATCAACAAAACAAAAAACCCTTGTCTGCTGAAATATTTGCAAACACCCCCGGGATGTTAAGGGTGCAGCATCACCCGTCTGGCCTCACATGCAGGCTCATAAAGGGGGCAGGGCGATGGCCTGGGGTTCAAAGGGGGAACTGCAGTCCCGATTTCTCAGACTGGTTAGTAAATCTCGGTAACAAAAGAAATTCAT